TAAAGACAAGTCTTGGCTCTTCAATCAGCTAATTTAGACATGCAAAATATTTAAGCATTTGAGTTTTCTAACCTGAATCAATGATGTTTACTATGACTTCTTTTAGAAACCCTAAAGATGGATGACACGTTTATGGCTTTCTCATAGGAAAACTAATGCAAGGTTTCCAAATCTATACATTTGTGTCTGCATGTGTAAGTACCCATGTAATATTCATGTTGTATCTTTGCACAGAAAAGTCAAATATAAGTGTTTAGGTACATACATGTATTGTTTATCTAATTATATTTGTAAATATGTCCATACAATATGTGAAAACTTAGAAAAGATAAAAGTTCATAGATTCTTGTGCATGCATTTAATTGCTATATATGTTTTCCTAACGGTTCTTTTTATGCCAATTTTTTAAAATGTCAGCAAGGTTGGGGTGTTTTTTTGTTTTGTTTTGTTTGATAGATTCCACAGGAACATGTGGCATCAGTGTAAGGATCTTGTTTAAGAGAATGGAGGCTTGGAAGGGGGGAAAAAAAAAAACAGATGCAGCAATTAGGCGGCTCTTGCTGCTCATTGGGGAGGTGACACAAGTGGGTGATAGTGGCTTTCACCTCTCACACTCCCTTCTCTCCTGCCTGATTCCTAGAACAATCCCTGTCAGAAACACTCTTTGAAAAAGGCTGCATTAGACAATGGCTCTTCACCCTTATTTTACGCTTTAAGTAGTGGAGCAGAATGCTGTAAGGGGCTGAAAACAAGGCGTAATCTGAGAAAGACGCGCAGGCATTGTTATAACTGTGAAAACCAGAAGAGCCCCTTTCAGAGCCGTGACTGAAAGTGCTCGGAAGACCTTTAGTCCTTTGCACTCTCCCAATCACCAATTAGACAAACATTAACATCAATTAAGCTGTTATACGGCACAGGTTCCATATAATTACCTTAATGGGTTGACGCTTTCTTTAGCAGCAATTTCTTAAACAAACTTCATCTTTTGTGCAACAGGCTAAGAAAATTTTCAGCAGGGAGCATTTCCTTTTGTCAAGTTTTCTAAAGAGACAGCTGAATTGTTCTATTTAACAACAAACACCTTCACTAAGGACCCTCGTCTTGTCCCCGTTCCCACCACATTTGACTACTAGGCTCAAAGCTTATTAACCATCAGAGACAAAAAAACGGACTGGCCAGGGGAGCCCAGACACATGCAGGGCGGGCAGTACACAAAGGACCAGTGAGTCTGGCACCGGTTTGCAAGCAGACCCTCGGAGAAAGCACCAATTGAATTAGTTGCCTATTTAGTATCCAAAGCGCCAGATCCGTCCTTACCAAAAGCACAAAGAAAATGAAATAGAAAAACAGGATCTTGCTCATAAAACAAGACAAATCTGTCTAATTTATTTTGTACCAGTAAGTGCTAATTAAATGCAAGCTACTCAGATTCTTCCTGTTCCTGCCTCACCTAATTCGCTTAGAATCACGACAATGCCAGTCTGATTTTTCCCCCTGTTTAACAAACATTCATTTGAAATGTACTCAAATACAGCTATAAAAATACAACCCTTATATCACTTCTATTTTTACTTTATATAAAGTCCATGTGTTTTTACTCTGTTGTGAAATTATTTGGTGGTTGGGGGGAAGCTCTTGGCAGAAACAAGTCCTTAAACTATCCTTGTGCATCATAAGGAATAAACAACTTGAGATGCATATAATGAACTATAATTGTCCCCCAGCCCCAGAGGGTTGTAGTAATGTATGTAATCAAAATTCACAGCAATTCATTAAAAGTCAGAAGCCTAACTCTTCTGTCTACAGTTTTAAAAGCAAAACATGGTTAAAAAGTAAAATCGAAAAATATAAAATATACACTAAATGCTTAGCCAAACCTGTCTTTAAAATCCCCCCCCAACACCTTTTTTTTCCTCTTTCTTTTTCATATTCTTACTGCTCATTTTCACATACCTGACTATAACAATATCTTTAGGAGCAGGCAGTTCATTTTACATCTTTAAGGTCAGTGCTTGGACTCCAAAGACAAATGTTTGTTCCGTCTAGTCTTGCCCTTATGAACTCCCAACACCTCTGTGGGTCAAAAGCTCAAGGCCACAAAGTTAAAACAGGATGATGAACTTATGTGCAGTTGTTAATCTCAGGCCATTGCCATCCATGGCAAAGGCCTTTACAGGAAAAGAATTCTACCCATGAAAAATAATTCTCAAATGCATTGCCCAAAATTAATATTTGAAAAAAAGTGTTTATACCAGAGATCAATTTATTTACAATATCTAATTGATAATCTATTTAATAGATATTTATGATTATAAAATTAAGGTTAACTTTTCTTAAACTTCTCACTAATATATTTAATATATGCAATGATATTCTCTATTTCAATTTTGGAACTCTTTTATTAGAAGTTTTTTTTTAATTTTTATTTTTTACTAAATTGATACTTTATGTTCACAATGATTTGGAGAAAAAGCAGTTTCTTCCCGAATTTTTATGCTGGTCACTCATGGCAACACTTTAAAAATAAAACTATATTATTCCTATTTTCTTCATTGGTTATCTCTGTTTACTCTATCACAAATTCAGCTACATACCAAGAATATCACAAATAAATAATGGAAGCCCAGGTGAAGAGTTTCCATTACTGAACTGTGTCTGATTGGAGTTTAGTCACTTATAATACAGTGGAAATATGTAAATTTAAATCAGGAGAGGCCTGAAGAACAAGAGATATGTGTGTGTATAATTTATAATTAAAGAAGTATTACTTTTTTTGAAATAGGTTAGAAACTAGAGTCACAAAAACTATTTCTTTGTAAACTGCTACCTGAGAATTATACAAATTTCTATTCTTCTTAGAACTTTTAGATATGACAGATATAATTAGGTGTAATAAGGAGGGACTGGGTGTCAGGTAGCAAAGTCACCTCTGCAACTACAAAGAAAATGTGTGTTGAATCTGAGATACCTTGTCCTAATTTTCATGTTAGGAATTAATCTGTAATGTATGAATGGATTTTTTTTCCATTCAACATACCAGGCAAAGATTTGAATAATGTTCGCATTTTGACACCCATATCAAACTGAAAACACCTCAATCAACTGTTGGATGGATTTGGCATAATTATTGATACACTTTGCAGGATTTAAAGAGTGAGGATTCAGTGCTCACATACCACATTTGAAACGAACACAACTTATCAAATGGAGTTCTGACATGTGTGACTTTTAGTATCATTTTGGAAGTGAAATAACCTGTCAGATTTTAAAATGTGTTAACAACTGGATGGTTAAGTGGCAGGGACGTGAAGAGAGGACGTGGGCTTGGTTTGAGATCTTGTTCTGGAGCAGAGGCACTGACTGCCAGCCTAGAGGTAATCACAACAAAAGTTTTCCCCCAGGGGTTCTGAACAAAAATTCTATAGTAGAATAAATAAACTACCACACAGATTATCCTAACTAGCATCTGCAATCTTCCTTACAATAGCCATTTGTTGATGTCTTTCCAAATACATTAGAAGTGGCAGATGATTTATTTTGTTTTTGAAAAGTGCTTATAACCATTCATTCATTCAACAAATATTTAAGTTTCTACTATATGCCAGGCATTCTTTTCTAAGTACATTATCAAAGTCAAATAGTACAAAATGCCTAACATCCCTTTATTGGAGATGTCTTCACTTTAAATGGATTAAGGCAATTTACATAAAGGCATACACACAGAAAAATCTACTCCTCTCAAGCTTTGTACAATTGTTCATCCTGATTAGTTTATCTTTGTTGCTTGACACATAGTAGGTGCTTTTTATGTTGTGCACTATATATTATAATTCAGCTGAGGGTTTTTTTTACGTGAAAAATTGTCTCACAAAAAGAAATGTCTGGCCACTACCACTGCTCAGTTGCATTAGTATCGTCATCTACAATTCTGGTCCCATAATTCTTATTTTTTTGTTTGATTTCAAAATGTTTTCCTTATTATTTTCATCACTTTAAATGTGAGAAACAAGGCAGAGAGGCAGTATGGGGCGGGATGGGCAGGGTGGATTGGTGGTGTTGGGATATGGCTCAATACTTACTTAGTTTTTAAACAATAAGTTGATTTTGTGGTGTGTGTGGGTGGTGGGTGTGTGTGTTATACTTTAGAAATTGCAACTCATCAAGGAAAAAATAATGGATTTAGTAGCAATGATACTTAGACTGGATGTAGTTTCTCTTTGTAGAACAGCAAGTCATTCTCAACTCCCATATTGCTGGTCATCCAGGGGGCTAAGCCATGCCTCTGGGTGCCACAGCAAGAGATGAGGAAGTAGTGAAGTATTTAAGAAATGTAAATGTGACTGAAAATTTCTTCTGAAGTAATTCACAGTCTGGATTTGGACTGCCACAGGACATTAATCTTATAAACCATAACCATTTCCTGTTTCTTAAAGAAAATTTGAAGAATCTTGGCCATGCATCATGCTAAAAGATGGTGTTCAAATCTGACCATGAAACACAAGGATTCCTTGATTCATAATTTCTTAGAAAACAGATAACAATTATTACATTTGGTTGATCTAAGGATTAAGGACTAAGAATAAAATTCCATTCCAAAGTGATCCCATTGACTTCTAAATTTCTATGTAATTTCTATCTCTATCTGTATCCATCTATATTCACTTATAAGATCTCTCTGTAGTTTGTATGTCTATCTGACTATCTTAAATTAGTGAATTTAAGATTCTTATTGCAAATAATATTATTTCAAGTGACTAGAATCTATTTATATGCGTAGATCATTTCTGTTATCCAGAATGCAGATGTATTTTGTAAACATTTTTATCTTTGCCCAAGTCCTGTAGGGACTACAATGTGTAAAGATGAACTGGTCAGTTTATTAGATTTGGACTAAACTCCTATTTATTTTTAACTTCAATTCTTATACATTTTACTTCCAATTTTGCACCTCTTTCTATTCTGAGTAAGAATTTAATAAAAATTTGGAGTATCATAATTTTAAAAATACTTTAAAATTGTGCTTCATCTTTCTAAGTTAGTATATAAACCCCAAACCTTTTGAAATCAATTCCTTGATAATCAGTCCTAGGTTTTGTACTTAATTTAAAAAGGCATACATGATTTTGCTCTCAGGGGAATACTACTGGAGAGCCAAGTTATCTTTCCTTTTCATGAAAATGTTTTTTTTTTTTTTTCCAAAAAGCCTTCATAATCCAATTGTTTGAAAGGTTCTGTATAAATTTGGGATTTTGGATGTCTGCAGGTCAGGAAAGTTCACCCGATTTAGTGAGTTCCCATTTAGTTAACCTGGTCTAGCCTAAATTCCTGTTTCTAAAGCCACTCTGTCATGTGTGATCTTTTTAATGGTTCAGCTGGGTTAACAAACTCTATTTCCGCCTCGTGCATCCCATTCTATAGAGAGGCCAAAGCTTTTCATTCAAGCTCTGGAAAATTACCTCCTCTTTTGCAGGTGGTGCTGTAAACAGGGAAGAAGATTAGGGAGTATCCTAGGCCATGCCCTTCCCCAAGGCCCCTCCTCCTCTCTATGACAAAAGAATGATAGAAGAGGAGACTTAAAAAGTATTAGTGCAAGAGGATATGGTTCAGGACAGAGTAATCAGGAAAAATGAAACAATAACAGGGAAAGTGAAATGAGGGACTCTTTGGAAAATACCACCAGAAAAATAGGCACAACCAAAAGAGAGATCCCAAGCTCTGTATATACAATTTGTTTGTTTTGCTTTTCAGAAGGTGTTAGACACAAAAGTGCAAGTGAGTCAATTAGAGGTATCCCACATCTTAAAAGGAAAGAAAGAAGGGGAAAAAAACATACCTTTTTCATGATCACCCCCTGTCTTCTTCATTTTGGTACAATGTCTCAAGAAAGGATTATGTCACAGTGACCTTACTTTTTATAACTGCACCATCTTTTCTTATATAAATATTAACTACATTTGGCTTTTGGGGTGTCACACAATTAGCAAATTAGTTGTTCACTAAGGGTATTCATCTAGGTTTTGTAACACTTTCCCCACCTTAATTTTAGAATATTACATGCAAGGGGAAAAATTGCCTTCTTTTTATTGCACTCATTGAAATCCCTTCTCTTAATGCTAGGCTCTGGAGTTATAGTGGCAGTTACTTCTGTCATCAGAATATCAGCACTTTGAATGGAATTCTGAAAATTACAAAGACCACACAGGCATACGGAGGAATTGATCGCCCTCTCCATATGCTAAATGTACCCTCATTTGAAGCTTATGTATTTTAATACAGCCCCTTTTTTTTTCAATTCAATTTATTGTATTTATCATGAGTATAAGATGGAAATTAGAAAATTCCTTCAAGGTTTTAGGTCTTTTATGCGCAATACTTATGAGAAAGAGGAGAACTTTTGCTGTTCTTTTATATGTGAAATTAGTGGATTGACCTAATGTCACAAGGAGTAAAACAAACTGTTCATTTGCACTTTTATGTACAAATATGAAGCACGATATTCATTTCCTAAAGAATCCAAAGGTACATTGGAGGGCTTTTAATTTCTATGTTTATAGTAACTTAATTTTATTTATTTCCAAAGTTAATATTGCTTGTATGGCATTCAGAAAGGCCCAGAGGCTGTGCGGCATCTCTCTGGAACAGTTGAAAAATTTCCAAAGGATTATCATCCCTGTGATATTAATGAATGAATCTTCTGTTATTTAAAGCTAAAGTAAGGCCATGATTTTTTCAGTCCATTTCTTCTAGACTTCATGATTTTCCCATTGAAAAGAAAATGTATGTCCTCTCCAGCATATCCAGGAGGAGTTAGCAATGCTCTGCCAGATGTACACACCAACAATACCAGTGGGTAGGGGAAACTCAAGAATGGCCCTGAACACCATTCCTGGAGATCTGGAAAGGGTGACTTAAACACAGTCTGGTCACTCTTTCCATATGCACATCAGCAGAGTTACACAATGGAGTGTCACTGGTTGATTGTAGTGTTTAGCAGTTGCAGTCACCATGCATTGGTATTGAGACCTTGAACAAGGACTTCCTCGTGTAGAGGAGCTGGCACTGTATTAAATAGTCCTATAAATTCATGCATTTCCATCTGTTTCTCCAGATATGGGTGTTTCTTTACTCGTCAGCTCATTAATCCTGTACTTAGTATCACATTTAAGCCAAAACCTAATTATGAGTCCAGAACCAGAGCATAATATTGTGAAGACAGGGGCATATATGTCTCTTAATGTCCCAGTGATGGCTTTAAAGGTTTATAAAAATGAAATAATTACTTTGAATATTATTGGTAAAATTATGAAAAGCATTTCTAGAATCCAAACACAATGGCATGTTAATTTCATAGTAAAATGTGGTCTTGCAACTGTAATTAATATCATCTATCTCAATAGCTGTGGGTCATTATAAGTTTAATTCAATTATTCTTGATGAAATATAGTGAATCCATAGTAGGTATCCGTTAACATAATTTGTGGCAATTTACAGAGAAGAGACTTCTTAAAGATATATGGTAAGAAATACTTTAACACATTTATAGTAGCTTAGTTTCAAAACTTAAAAAAAATCATAATTTACTTTGCTCTGGCAGTATACACACACACACACACACACACACACATACATACACACACCCTGTGGTTAGTTTATTCCCTGCTACTTTAACAATCAGTGACTGTTTTGGTGAAAGCCTAAAGCTTAATCCATTAAGAGCCATTCAGAACAAAACAAACAAACAAAGCTTTAACCACTTCAGTGACAACAGGGCAGAACCAACAAGCAGCTTTCTTAGAAAACCCTAGCAATTTTAGGATCAATAACCTCATACTAGATGCTACTAAGTGATGAAAGTTAGAGAATTTGTGCTTCCAGGGTTTAGAGAATAAAACAAAACACCTAAGTGTCAGGGGAAGGATGATTTGATAAATTTAGTTTGAGAAATATCCTGTAGTTAGTATCACATTTAAGTCAAAACCTAATTATGAGTCCAGAACCAGGGCTGACTTATGTTGTCTCTGTAGTCAAGATGAAAAATAAGCTAATTCAAACATCGCCCTGGACTAAAAATTTTACCTATGTGCTCTAAGAGTTGAACTGCTAAAATATCTTTTAGTCTTGTTCCAAGTTCCACTGTGTGTGTGTGTGTGTGTGTGTGTGTGTGTTTGAAATTAAAATATATTTCTTTGAAAACAATCTTATCTATTATCTTTATATTGAAGTATTTAGGGTAACTTTACAGTCCACTTAATTCAAGGCTACAGTTTGGACAATAACACCAATAAGTACATTTATATATGAGAGGAGCAAAAACAAACATTTCTTCACAAGGTTAAAAGCCTGTTCATTTCCTTCTAGAAATATTCCTTTGTATATTATCTTTTGAGAAAAAAAATCCATTAGCTTCTTTGATACATTCTCTAGTCTTAAATTGTACACCAGTACAGCAGAATATGTTTGATGGAGAAAATTTACTGCAGTTCTATGTAATAAAAACGGCTCCTATATTCTTTGCATTCGTTATATTTTCTTTTTTCAGTTTCACAAAACAATTTTAAAATGCTCTCTCTCTCTCAAAGTTATAATTTTAAAAGTGCCTTTATATTTATACTTAATTATAAACTCAGTAATGAAATAAGCGTATTATTTATTATTTATCTCAAAATGTCAGCTGGCTAGACTTTACCCACAAATTATCTGGAGGCATTAAATTATATACCTTCATAGGTAGTCAACACTGTTGGGATTGCCTGCGGTATGTTTACACGCTAATTTGTTTACTGAACATTGTCTACTCATTTATGTTTTTGCTTTTATTTTTCTTTGTTAACAGATCCTCACTGAAGAGACATATTTAATATGAGGATTTTATATAAAAAAAGAAACATCTTCATGCTTAAAAATAAGCACCGGATAAAATGCAGAGTAATCTCTGGGCTGAAATGTCATCAGATAACATTGACCATTAATATTTTACAGACGAAAGAAGTAAATTACCCTGCAATATCATTAAAATGCATGATTTTTTTTCCTGTGTCAGAAACGCTGTGCAGTTTTGTCTGGATTCATTAAGGCACTCGTTGTAGAAGTGCCTTGCCAACCGGAATGTGGGTGGCTATAATGGCAGCCTGTAGGTTTGTATGGAAAACAAGTATGGCACTGTGAAAAAATCCTTCTCTCACCCTACAGATACCTGTACGGAGAGCTTGGGAGACATTTCCATAGGCTCACTGTCAAGTGAGTGCTAAGGCCCCCATTCACTGGGAAGCAAAGGTAAGTCTGAAAAAAAATGTATTGAAGGAAAAGAAAAGGGGTGGGGAGTGAGGTGGAATCACCTAGCACTGAAGCAGCCTCACCAAGTGACAGACACGTAGACAACTCTGATGCTGCCAGAACAACACTCTGCACAGCCCACCAGTAAGCAATTTGTCACAGCGACAAGAATATCCTCCGCAATTTGGCATCAGGGTCCTTGGACAGCCAACTGCGCCTGTACAGCACGAGACGTGCTATTCCGCAACCGGGAAGATGGGAACCGAGGTTCTCGTTATTATGTCCAAATGTGTTATTTTATGAAAAACATATCTTTTGTCATGATCAACATAGAGATAGAACAGTAGTAATTGATAATAACTGGGGGCAAAAAAAGACAACAAATTGAAAAAAAAAAAATCTCCTTGTCTGTTTTTGAGGTACCCTGGGGGCTGAGACGATTTCAGGATGTTTGCTTGATACGTCTGGTATTTTATGGCACGCTCCCACAGTGTTTCATAGAAAGAATGAATCCATAGGTACAAGAATGAACTTGGAGAATTTTTGTAGTAATTTGCTTTTAGCAGAATATACTCTTTGCTTTGTTTTAGACTTCGACGTGTTTGTTTACGGTGTGTTGATTAATACATTGGCCGAGTGCAAATCCTTTCTACCGGTATGATTTGAAATAAGACAAAGAACTCAAGGTAAGTTGAGTTATAAATGTGCAAAGGAAAGACCCTTTACTCCTTGCATTGCTACCCTGGTAATCTATTATAAAAGTGCAGTAAAGGAGAGAAGCCAGAAGCATAGGATAAAGGTATCTGATAAATAAGCAAGTAGTGTTCCCTTGCCAATTACTTGGCATCTTACTTTGTAATTAATGCCACAGTAATGAAAAAAGTGGTAGGCACAAAGATTGGGCCTTTTGTGCATTCTATACAGAACCAAACACTCATAAAAATCTAGCTCAAAGCTAGCCTAGTTTGGCTCTCTGCACAATCAAAACTTGCTAGAGAATTAGAACAATCCCATAGGGTGTGTGTGTGTATGTGTGTGTGTGTGTGGTGTGTGTGTTACAATGCGTTATATAAGAGTGACATCAGGCAGTTATGGTATTGCTGTACCCATCAAACAGACAAGGGTATCCTTCATTCCCCAGACATGATGGAATTGTGTACCCATTCTGCCAGGAGTGAACATGGTATCTATTATGTTGTTCACCAGTTGTCCTTTGAAGCACTGTAGCTAACTGCTGCTTGATAGGTTATAGTAACTATGTTGCAATGCCTGGTATATTTATATTTGTGCTCTATACAAACTTTCAGGATATAATAAAAATACTTGAGTTAAATAATTATGAGAGTGATACTATTAGTGGGCATTTTAAAGAAGTACTAAATAATATAACTTAGGCAATTTTCATATTATTTGAAATATAGTACAAGTTTCAAAAACATCATGTTAATATTATAATGATATTTTATAAAAATATAAAGCAAGTTTTTTCTCTCTCTTCACATAAACTGGATGGCAGTAAGTGCCTTAGGGTTGTGAGAGTTGAGAATGAGATGTTTAATTGAAACACTGTGGAATTAGTGTTGAAGGTGGAGTGTGTTGACTAGCTAGGTACAAGGACAATGAAATGAAAAGGCCTAAGATTCATATCCTTTGAGGGATAAGGTACAAAGGAAAGGGAGAAAAAAGAAGTGTGTGCGGAGTGTTCAAGGATAGAGGGTACAAAATACAGTGGAGACCATAAAGAAAACTAACCCCTACTTTTCTAAGCTTTGCATGGGGTGTTTTCCTTGCAACTCCCATTAAAGTCAATGGGAATCATGCAGCTAAAACCCCGTGTAACTCTTTGACAATTTACTTCCTAGTGTCAAGAAAAGAGTACTACCTACTAAGGGCAATTTACTCATTTTAGTTTGTGCCTCCCATACAAAGATGAATTTGATAGAACATAGCAGGAGGAAAAGAGAGACTGCATTTAAGATTTTGTTATTGTAAAAAAGTCATCATTGAAAAATGTCGCCTAAACTCTCACCTTGTTTAGCAACAACAATAAACAGAGAAAAGCAATCCAGTAAAAGAATATGAAAAGAAGTGTAGACTTGATTACAAGAAAAATGATGATTGCTAGTGTAAGGTTTTTCTCCCCCCCCCCATTTTAAATTCTTAAGCTCTGAACACAATCGCAGGATAATAAGAATACAGGAAGATTCTTAAGATAGCAAATTGAAGCTGCTGATTGCTTGCTTTTCTCATACACCTCAAGTTGTATATATGTAAATACAGCAATGGTATTCTTCCAAAATCTTTATTAATACAAATACAATAGAAGGAAGGCTACTAAAGTTTCCTAGTTTTTGGTAGAAAAGTAGGTAAAATGATAAAGTTCTCTTCTGCTATAAGAAATCATTGATTATATGCATCATGCCCTCTTTATAATATAATTTTTGAAATATGGAATGTACATATTAAGAAGTACATGCTATTTGCAAATGCTTTCATGAACTTTGAAGTCAGAAAATTAACACTGGCTTTCAAAGTGTTTATTTCTATTACTAGCCTCTATAATTTTTTACTTTTAAATGAAAAGTTTTTATTTCAGTGCAGCATCACTTTATTGATACAATTCTTATAATCCCATAATAAGCTTATGTGGGTTGAAGAGAGGGCTCCTGTGTTTTCTAATTCTGTTCTCTGTGATTTGTTTTTTCCTTCAGAGGGAAAAGAAGTAAGATTCTATATGTTTCTGCTTTTTATTGTGTGGCTAGAGTACAGACAATCTACAGACAACTGCCTATGCAAATTTATTACTTAGCAATACAGTTTCTCAGTTGTTATGGTTAAATGAGTGTTTCTCACTATGGACCTAGCTGTAGCTGTACTTTAGTGTAGGTGAGCATACTGCTGCGGCAGCCTTGGGACCATTGCAGTCTGATTGCATCAATTAACAAATCCTGAACTTTACCACCAGAACAAGACATAGCTACACATTTATGAATGTCTGGCTTTGAAAAATTAGAGTAATTATGTCACCAAAGCTACCATTGATTTTCAGATAGACATTTTAATAATTTTGCAAGAGTAAGAACCTTTCTGAAAGTGCAGTGATATTTTTATGGTGGAGATAATATGTAAGGATGAATACAGTGATTTTATATGTGAGAACATTTAAGAAAAGAGATATTGTAACTGAACAGAATTTAGATGTGTTTCTGGATTGAGTCCTCTACTATAAATTACATGTTGGAAGGTTTTGACTGTGTGAGAACTCCTGAAATCTGATTTTCCTGGAGAGAGGAATGAGAATTCACAGAATAATGAAAAGAATATAAAACTAATAAAAAAATCATAGAAAAAGATAAATTTAAAATATGAAAATTCTATAAGTTCTAGCTTAAAAACTCACAGCAGGTTCATGTTCCTTCTTATATCCCAGACTGTTAGTTAGTGAGTAGATCACAGATCCTTAAGCAAATACATGTTGAAACATTTCCGTTCACAAATTAAACCTGAATTGAATTTAGCACACAAAGCTCTTTAGTTAGCAGTTACATTTTTCAATTTTTTTCTTCTAATTGAACATGGGTATGTCAAACAGTATTTTTATACCAGTAAGAATAAATTAGTATCAGTATTTAAAGCAAAAACAAAAACAAAAACACCAAAAACAGGAAAAGGGGAAAAGATGGAGTCAGATCTTGCAGTGGGAATGTTCTTCTCAATGTTGCAGAATTTTTTTCCCTCCATATTTCAGTGTCATCGTTTCATTTTGAATAAGAACTTGAATAATCATTAACATATTTCGTGGAACCAAAGATTTATATGGTTATATATTCTAGATCTCTTATTTTAAGAATTATATTTTCATAATTTGAAAGAATTATATACTTTAACAGAAATTTAAAAATTAATCTTTTTATATCAGACTTTTTTTTTTTGCTAGGAATTTGTTATAAATCAGTGTTTTCCAGCGTTGAGATTTAAGGCATTTTTAAATATTCATTTTCCCCCATATCTTCTTCCACATGGTTAAGAAATTATTATGACTTTGGCATGACATCTCTGCAGTCATTTTGCAGTATATGTAGTTGGGGAAAGCTTGTGAGAAATATATATTGCCTTCCAGTATTTCCAAACCACATGTTTAGTTACAGAACAAGGGGTTTTACACACATAGAGACTGCATTATCTCTTAGCTTAATGAGAAGCATTTTGCATATATTTACTCTGCAACATTTTACCAGCCCCAGGGATGTTTTTTCTTGAACTGATTTTATCACCTGTATAGAAGAATTATACAAATGTTCTCACTAAGAAGGTTTAAGTCAGAAACTAAACAAAAAAGTATGTAGTCAAATTAGTGACTAATTATATTCATGAGGATGAGTTTGTATACACAAAATTTTTTTCTTAGTGGCCACTTTTCTCTTTTCCCTACCCTTATCTACATTTCTTCAAACTTGACACTTGAGTGGTCTTCTGCAACTCAAATATGTTTTGACAGCTAAAGTGTGGAGGGAGTTAATTGCTGGGTAAAGGTATAGTATTGTTAAAGATATTGATTCTCTGGCTCCAGAGATCTTTGGGGTTTTCTGCATGGCAAATTTCTGATGTCCCACTTCAAAGATTCAAAGTCAGAACCCTTCTTTGCTACATCCAAGAAAAAGAAGTCACTGGACACTAGGCTGATTGGTCTGGAGCTAAAGGTTACCCACTGGTTACATGCTTGCCTGGGACCCAAGCAATGAAAGGGATTCTTCATACAAGGCTAAGCTGTCTCTTCTCTTTGATATGGATACACAACTTCTTTAACACCAAGAAGACTCAAGCATGGGAACTGGAAGAGGAATGGGTGTTATAAGATGGAATGGGTTCTTGAAATTTTTCAAAGATATCCTGAAAAAGGAAAAACAACAACAACAACAACAAACAATTATTTAAAATACTAAGAAGGGTTAAGCTTAAACATGGTGAAGCAGGACAAGAAATATTCCTTTTATGGATGGCAAATGTATAGACCAAGGCAATGACTCAGGTGAAACACAATACAATTTTTCACAATTATTTAAGTGTGAAAGGCATATAATTTGTAGGTTCTTCCATGGTCTTTTGAATGGCAGTATAGGGCAATGGAAAAAATAAAGATGTTTCTCTGGTATTTCAAATAACATGCTGTATACATTTGAGTATGCCATTTAATAAGGGCTTTGCGTTTTTTTCATTAGCAAAGGAAAACATGGGTTTATTATATCCAAGGGATGGTAAGATGATGATTTTATTACAACTATAGTTGTCAAAAATGCCCAGATAGATGCAACGTAAACAAGATCCTAGCACTGGTAACATAAGAAGTAATATAAGATTATTTCTGATATCAATTTTTTTTTCATTTTTAAGCTCTTAGTCTTCAAAAGAGTATGTTGTATTTACTGTAATAATTTTACTCATTTGTTCACCCAATTTATTGAGTCTTGACTAAAGTGCATGATTGTGCTTGCTATTGGTAACTCAGAGGTCACTGAGATAAAGTATTGATTGTGTAGTGAATGAAGAAATAAACCACAGGTAAAGCTAGGATAAATATATGCCAACATGTTTATAAGATATTGAAGGAGTTACTGCTAACTTTGCCTCAGAGAGACAGGAAAGCTCCATACAGGAGATGATCACTGAACCAGACTGATGTTAAAGA